AAATCTACTGTTGGTTCGCTGTGATGATCGGTTGCTTCATACCACCTAACTAACTATGTGTCTCCCATCGCAGTTTGTAGGTTCGTTCGTTTGTGGGCCCCTCACTCCCACGAGCGGGATTTATTGATGGATTTATTGCACGTTGTCGCTCGGGACCTTCGGCTGACAAAATCACTGACTCGTAGTTAGTTGCCTAGAAGTGCATGGAAACAGAGTGCACCGAATATCGTTGAGAGAGTGCGATTATGAGCCGAAACGAACTGAAACCAATCGCACATTAGAGAACAACAGCTTGCCGCAGGCAGCCGAGCTGGTCCTCTAACAGATTCTCGGTAACTATTTTGTAGTGGTCGTGGTGTCTAGTAACAGTCGCAACAAAACATGAAACAGCTGAAACCGATCGTACAGACAGGGTTGTCGGCCGCCACCTGTTTCCCAGGAGAAGCGGTTACGCCATACCATTGACCACCAACTTGTTTTCAATTCTCTGCCGAGAATCGAAGCATGTGCCGGATGGTGCCGGATGGGAGAACATAATGCATCGTCCAGTAACGTACTTCCTGGTAAAACCATCACATTTTTTTCAATCGTTGGGTCATCAGAGCATGACAATCGACAGTATTCCAAAACCTCGATGACTGCTTTCTTCGTTCCCGAAGCAAAACAAGCGACCTTACTGTATCTACAACACGTGCGTGCGTCGATTACGATTCAGAATCCCCCCTCCTCCCAGATATTTATCCGAAACATCGTCAGTGCAGAGGCACAACAATCACGCATGCATGCAAGCACGCTCCACACGACAACGAAGTGCCCAGTTATGTACCGAGCGGAAGCAGAGAACATCGCTAAAGTCACAAGTCAAGCTAACAAGACCTAATGATGCACCACGCTTAGGCTACGCTCCAAACGACAGCCAACCGCAGACTACTGTAGCATCGCCTTTCATCACTAGATGCGACCAGTCAACCACAGACTAGCAAGCCCTTCATCGCTAGATGAGGTCATCAGTCAACCACAGACAAGCATCGCCTTTCATCACTACATGAGAGACTGGTGCGGCAATAAAAAAACATGAAGCGTATGCATGCGTGTACCAAGGTCGAGCGCGAGAAGTGTTCAATAAAAAATAACGAAACAAAAAACACCCCTCTCCTACGCATGATAGGCTCACGAATCATCGCTATTCGACCTTCCTTGCGGTGGCAACACCAACCCAACCGACGGAAGGATGTACAGCAATCGAATGACATCACGCGAGCCAGGTAGGCTCACCACCACCTTCATCAGTTTGTGACCACACGGAGAGCTCTCCCTGTGGGTCCTCCCCTCTGCAAAAGACCTACAAGACCACCTCATGAGGAACTGTATAATGTAGCCAAGAGACTAGAAAATCTTGTCGGATTTATCGGTCTGAACTACAATACATTGACCACGTTCACGCCTGAAGTTTCGAAAGCCAAGACAATCGACTTCGAAAAACCCATAGCCTGCCTTCATCCCCCCCCCTCCCCCCCCCCATGTTCCCAAAGCTCGGTGCGTCATTGTTGAGTACAAACCCCACGACAGTAACTCGCCGTCAAACGCTGACCTGACAACCCTCCTTTCTTTCCATGCACAAATGCGTCTTTAGATTCCCAAGACAAACAGTTTCGAAAGAACTCTGCGGCGCCAACTAAACTACTTCTTCCCCTCGCTCTCTCTCTCCCGCCTCCTGCTTCCACAACACCGGGAGCGCAGCCAACCCTCTACACCCTGACAACAACAGCAGCAGCAGTGTGGTGGTTCAATACAATATGGCATGTTCCAAAACAACCAAAACTACAATGAAATCCCTTCCTTCAGCGTCGGCAACACAAACCAACGGCTCCACCAGACACTACCAAGCCTACCGCTAAACGTTCGAAATTACTCAAAAAATACTGCTACCTTCTCTTTTCTTTATATAACGTGTCTCAAAATGTTCCAAGCCTCCAACTTCATGCGCACGCCATCCCCCGTCATTTCGCGCCCGAATCCCGAGGAAGAGACAAGGACCAACGAGGAGAAACGGTGCATACACACACACACACATCCTCCGACCCTCCCATGCCCGGTCCACCCTCCAACACCACCAGTGGTCTTCGAATGTCGACGATTTGGCTTCGAAAACCGGCGCTTTGCCCGCTCCCCCCCCCCCCCCCCCCCCCCCCACA